TCAAAAATAAATTGCAAGGGTAAATATTTTTGGAAAAACAAATTATAATTGGATTATAAATGTTTTGTTCTTTTTTCGCCATCGATAAAGTCTAAGTACTTAAATCTTACTTATTTTTTGCTTGGTCAATCATCATAAACTTCCAGAAGCATTTAATATTTAGATAAATTGTTTCTTTCGTTTATGTGTTTACTTTATTTTAAAATGCGGTTGACTAATCACAAAATTTGTAGATGAAAGTATTATTACGTCTATTTGAAATTATACCAGTATAATAAGTCTAAATTAAAAACGTATCACAATTCGTTGATACTTTTGATTACACAAAACGCCCTATGAAATTCAAAATAAATAGTAAATTTGTTTTATTCATTTTCAAGAAAATATTGATATATAAATTAACATTTCAAAACATAATGTATATTATCTTAAGAATTCTGAAAATGTCTATAAATGAGCAGACTAAATAAACTAAGAAGGTAGACATTATAAATATGGTTTTCCGGGAAACGTGATATCATAAAAACTGGTGTTTGAGAATGGAATGAAATAAAATGAATTGTTTTTATACATTTTTCATTCCAATTTATTTTCAAACATCGTCTTTATCATCGTATTTTTAACAACAGAAATTAATTTTAGTTTTCCTTTAAATCGAATAAATAAACTACCATATCCGTATTATTAACAAACGAATTACTCTGGATTATCTTCAGAAATATTATAATTTATTTCAAATAAAGATGAAATTTGTGGTTTCAAATAATTTTTAATATTTTAATTCAAATAAGTGATAATTTTATTAATGTAAATTATATTAAAGATGTAATTAAAATAACGATGGACTGAGCACCCTTTCAGGAATTAATTATTAAGAAAGGTTCAGTAATTAGATTAAGACGAGAATTTCTCGCAGATCGATAATTTGTGCAGAATAATGGCAAAATTATATAGTTTTTATATTGAGTTTGATATATTTACATATAAAAGTTTTATCTCTCTGGGAAAAATTAATCGTAACGTTGATATGCAAATTAGATCAATGAAGTACGCAATATCAGAGCTAATACAATTAAATTAAAGCTTCTGCAGTTTAATTGTAATTTATTATCATTTTATGAATTCATTATGATTTTACTCGTTATTTAAAAATAGTATATTTATTTAATTTTTGAAACAATTACTGGTGTATAGCTCGGTAAATGCAATATTGCATTTATTTAGTTTTTCTTTTATGACGCGTTGCATTTATATCTTATGCATCTAATTTAAAATCAGACGTCATTAACTAATTGATTTCAAAGTGTTTTAATAACATATACTTTGTGATTTAATTACTGCATAATTAGAATACGAGTGATTGAGCAATAACAATTTTTATGATTATATAAATGCATTAGCATCTGTTATGCAAGATATATATTAGTAGTAAAATTTCCTCGGGATTTGATATAATAAAATTATCTAACACATGACAATAACTCAACAATCAACACATATGATTTATCTATGTTTTATTTTATAATGCGTCTTGCAACAGTCAATACTAAAATCAATGTCTATGAAGGTAATTCTCCATATTGGTTTTCTCTATATTGGGATAATCTATGTTGGATCTACAATTACTTTTTGGTGGCTATCTTTAAAATGTCTTAAACACGTAAATTGATGCCGTAAATGCTCATTAATGTTGAACATTTCAGTTCTTTCATATTACCATCGATTAGATCCCATCAAATCATTGGTCGTACAAAACATATATTCATATGTTTACTCATAATACTATTATTCATTAAACCTGCAAGTAATTATCTAATAAAAACGCGTCTTGCAAATAAAATAATTCCATTATATAATTTTTTTATACTACGTGCTGAACCTGATCCTCCTTGACCTCAACTACGAATGCGTTTTATGTTTATAATAAATTCACAGAAACAGCCGTCACATATCGTATGAACATATGTGCATTGTAAACTTTAATCTAATTGCATTTCATTTGCATACCAGAATGTGTTTCCATTATTAATATTTTGTAGTAATATTTGTATATCAGATATGGAAAAATACCAATAAAAACAAATTATAAAAGAAATTGGTAAATAATCCATAGTGATAGTAATATTTTGTGAGATTTAAAATAAAAAAAAAATGGTTTGAAAAATAAAGCAAATATTTAATAGCTTTGATTCATAGTCCCAAAATATTGCAATATAAACTTTTGTTTTCTTTCGCATTAACGCCCAAAAGAGGGATGTTCATTTCATTTCGTTTAATAATTGGACTTATTTTTGGCTTGGGTTTTGATTTTTTGTTTCGGTTTTTCAACAAACAAACATTATAAATGACTCAATAGAACAATATACAATAACAACAAAATAATCTAAAACATAATACATAATTTAACATTACTAATGTATAACGTCAATCCGGAGGGTAACAAATAAGAATTTTGAAATTTGCCAAAGTAAAGCAATATAAGTTTAAGTTTCAGAAACAGCTAAGACTGCTTTTATCTAAAATCCTAATTCAAATTTATTTTATTAAAGCGATATATGATGATAAATTTGATTTCTAATGAATAACATAAAAAGTGACATTTTATTGAGTTTAAAAATCCAAACGGAAAAAGTAATCACATTTGTGGCTTCCATATAAATCAATTATTAAACCAATCTGGACCTACGGAATTGAGCTCTGGGGATGTGCTTACAAATCAAATATAGCTATAATGCAGAGAATTCAGTCAAAAATTTTACGTACAATACTTAATTCTCGGTGGCATTCACAACGATCTCAACATGAAAATGGTGCAATTAACGTTCAAAGAATTTAAGTAAAAATACAAACGTAAACTGGAATCACATTCAAACCCATCAATAGGCGACATTATCCAACCATTTGGCGTTAGAAGATTGAAACGTCAATGGCATTTAGATTTAGTCTTAGATTATTAGAATATCATTATCTTTTTAATTGTTAAACTAATAAGATCTCATTGGAGTTCTTCTTAGACATCGCTCTCAAATATGTCAATTTAGCTTATAGGAATTCTTATGTATTTCTGATTGCTGAATAAAACAGAGTTAAAAAAATAAATAAATAATAAAAAAATGTGACTTCTATAATTATTTGCCAAGATATCAATATAATGACCTCTTCAACTTATGGATTTGCTGGGATAGACCTCGATAATAGTAATTCTAGTATATATATATATATATATATATATATATATATATATATATCCATAAAATCATACAAATTGCTCTTGATACCTTCAGTATCATAGTACTACACAATTCTGATTGCAGTATTAATTATCCATGGATCGGAACATCTTCACTATGAAAACACTAATTGAAACACCAATTTAGTAATGATCTATTACACATACAATAAACTATCAAGTACATGACCTATGAAGATATTATCAATTAATTTCAAATCGATAACTTGAACTTACAAAATTATATGATACTGTATGATAAAGCAATTTGTTAATAAAAATTTACTAACGCGACTGCAATGTTTTTAGTCTAATATGAATGTAATATTCATTTATTCAAAAAAAACAACGTAAAATATTACAACAGATTTATCAAATTATATATCATCTTGACAGGGAGAGTTTAATCGATTGTACTCTGTAACCACTTTCGCAAACTCAGCTAATGCAGAGGAAAATTTCTTATAAAAGCCTAAGAAAAAAATCAATCGCTTTCAAAATTACGCAATGCTATAATGAGAACGATGAGAAGTTTTTTCTTGGTTGTATTGAAATTTTTTATGTGATTGTTTAATTTTGTACTAATAATATATTTTAAATTAGCTGTGGAATTTAAGTTTATATATTCATTCTGATCTCACCGTAAGTGCAAGTCCTTTATAATTGTAAACCTTCGATCGAATCCTTTACAAATGAATCCAGTTGTGCTACAACACTACTACAGCAATCCTGGTATTCCACACAATTCACAATTTATGAAACATTTTTCTTATCCATTTGAATGCACTCGCGATGCCCTGTCCGATCGCGAAACAATTTCACTGAATTATCGAAAGATCAGCGTTCGATCACCGTTTGTATTTTTGCGTTTCCCGAATCGTGCTTTTGAACGGTGATTTTTCCCGACTACGGATCCGCGGATAGCCTTGGTTTTCCTTCAAGATGGCGCGTACACCGCGGAAAATCGATCCGCCACTACGTGACGTTCGGAAAATTGAACGCATGCGCCCGGATGCTCTGGAGCGGCCAGAATTGACGTTTCGTATAGGGAAGGAAAGGATGGGAAAGCTCGTTGGAGTTAATGGAAATGAGCTTTTACTTTGATTCAGAATTTTACAAGTTAACGCACTATTATTTAGTTAATAAATATCTTCTACTACACTATCAATTATTTTTGTTTGATACGTAGATACTAATATTTTTATGAGATTTCCGAGAACTATTACATATTTTTTCTATTCCATGCTAAGTATAAATTTCAATCTTTTCCACGCCACCGAATTTATAATTGCATGTTTTTTTATTATATAGTAATTTTTACACCTGCCCTGAAATGGACAACTAAAACTGTAAGAACAAAATTACTTCAAAAATACAAAATCTTCTGACCATTATTAGAGGTGTTATGGCGTAGTTTTCTCGAAAGTGAGTATGGATAATCCTCGAGGGGGCTTTTGTAAATTGTCTGAATGTTATTGTATTTCATTGTTCATTGTGTTAATGTAGGCGTCCTTACGTTTTAACCAGTTTGGTACATACTTTGGCCCATTCATAATTACTTTAAATTGCCTGCAATTAATTGCATATAATGTTTAAAAAATGTTTTATGTAGTTACCTAATTCATAAAGGATTTTGCTAGTAATTACCCGCATTAGTTATGTATGATATACGATAATTATTTATAATGCGATTAGAGTAGTGTTTTAGAGAACCTTATTCAAATAATTTTAATGATGATTGTAATTATTATAAAAATTATAAAAATTAAACCTTTTTTATGATATTTCCCTTTGAGGTTGGTCTCGCTACTGAAATTGCTGAACCAAGCATACGGAGATCTGTTCTTTCTTGTAATTTTCTGGCATTGATTTTATTATGAATTCTCTAGTACGGCCTTTCTGTATTATAGAACCTAATATGTACAATCAAAATATAATTTTACAGTTTTAATTATTGATAAATAATAATTTGTTCGTAATATTAATTTAATTCTTCTCGTTCAGCTTCATGAACGTTTATCATGAAGTTTCATTATTTATTTGAGAATATTATATTTATTATAAAAATGATAAAAATTAACAATTATTACTCAAAAACATTTGATTCCTATCGATGGGGAGACGTGCTTTTGGGAAAGTCAGATCCAGCCGTTTTGCAAAGAAGGGGCAATGCTATTTGGCGGTCAAAAGTTAACGTTGGGCATATGCATATCAAATTTATATTAAGTTTAAATTTTGTTCCAATTTTGCTGGTTTAGTACCATGTTTCATCCTCGATATTTTTGACAGTATAGATCAACCAACCTAAATGGATTCAAATTTTTCAAAAAATTTGAAAATTTTCAAGAAATTCTAAATTTTTCAGAATTTTTAAAAATATTCAAATTCTCAAAAAAACTAGTTTTTTCAATTTTCTTAAAAAAATGCAAAGCTTTTAGAAATTGTAATTTACGGTAAGGAAAATTTCAGCAATTTGTCTCAAGTAATCGCAAAAAAATCGAAAATAAATTTTTTTATATATCTTTACGATTCAGAGGTTTCTGAACATTTTGGCATATCTTTAGAAATTTACTTTCTTATCGGTTCCGTACCAATGTTTATCCGTTAGACGGAGACGCGGCGTTTACGCGCTTCTATATTTCGTTTCTATGCAGTTAAAGCAGTACGATTGCTTTGAAAAAAAGTTCAGAATTTCCAAAATATTCCAAATAAAGAAAACATTTTTTTTCAAAATGTCTAATTTCTAAAAAAGTAATTTTGTGTCAAAAATTAATAGTTTCTCAAAAAAGGAATTTTGTAAAAGTAAAAAATTTTCAAAAATGTTAATCTTTTTAAAAAAAAAAAAATTGGTGCAAAAAGTTTCAGCAATTTGGTTTAAGGCACGATGAATGCGCCCCACTAGTATTTTAATAATTTTACCTAGTGAGAAATAAGATAAAATAACCAATAATTCACCCTAGGACACAATGACATACTCGGGCACTAGTTCTGGTCAATTCCTCCAATGATCTTTTCACCCGGCTCTCCCCTACGTTCGGCTGCGAGGGCGAGTTACAAGCGTAGGCACGACGGGGTATTCGGATCGTCGTGTTCGTAGTATCGAGAGATAGCCCAGCGATGCGATATTACGAGCTTTCGCATGCCGCCAGATGCGGCGCCACGTATTTATTAGCATTTGTCCGAACGATGCTTTGTTGGCTCTTCATTGATAGTTTTTTAGTATCATATGGCTTTGTAGGGGTGGGAAATTAATAGAATAGAATATACTATTATTATATACGATTTGTAAAATGCAACAAATTATTTAATAGAACAGCGTCAAGTGTCTATAAACTTTTATTGGAAATGGTCGCTCGATTTGTTTTTTTTTGGCTCTTCATTGATAGTATTTTTGTATTATTATTTGTAGAATAATTCTTCATGAAATCTAATAGAGCATCACAAATAATTTTATAGAAGCAGCTCTATATATTAATTAGAATTCATTGGATTTGGTTGCTCTATGCTTGTGTTGGCTCTTCATTGATGACGTTTAGAATTGCAAGGGTGGGAATTGAATATTTTGACTATAAACTAGCACTTCCTGGAATCTACTAGTATAGTTCGATTTGTTAATGAATGTAACTAATTAATATAAGTGGCACACTTAGCATTTGTTGAAAGTTGTCGTTAGATGCCTTGTTAGCTTCTGCTTTATTGATAGTTTTTCAGAAATATTTCTTGAAAAGATGGAATTTCAAAATTTTTGACTATAAAACAACACATAACTATTTCAAATCTATTGGCACTATATAATTCAAAAATATAAATTGCATAAAAATGTTGGCACCTTTTTGATGGTTATTTAGAAGTCTATCATAGTTGTATGATAGTTGTATGATTTATGCAATTATTTATGAACAATTTATTATTTTTGAATAAAACAAATAACTTCTAGATCTAACTTCGAATCATACTATCATATTTCATCAAACACCATTGCTTGAATTCAAGTTATAAGTTTGTATGAGAAAGTTCCATTTTAAATTTGTAATTGAACAAAAATAATTAAAAATTAAACTTTTTTATACTTCAAACAAATCCTGTATTAATTTCGGAACACCTTTTGTTACTGATAAAATTTTTACTGATCAGAGATATTTCTATTCAATTTGTCTTCATATTAATATATAGATTTTTCTCTCTGTTTCTTGTATAAACTTCAATATTATATTTGTCTCATTTGTTAAATTCAAAAATGGTTTCTCTGAATTCAAATATTTGTTCATTTAAGTATTAATATCTCCTATTTCTTTGTCTTCAGTCAACTATAATTAAAATGATAAAGTTTCAGAGACTACAGAACTATGTTCATGACGCCTCTGACCAACTTTTTACTATTGAACATAATTCTATTGTTACCTTTTCACGTCAAGTCTGAAACGGAATTAAATAATACAAGTTGTAAAAGTTATACTTTCAACTGTGAACAAAGTTTTGAAAGATTATTTACGTTGGAGCGGATAATATACTTTTGAGTTGAGATTCATAGTTTGAAGTTTTTCTTTATAGTTACTGTAATAGAAATATTATTAGAGATAAAAGAAGAATATTTATAGTAGATGTTAAAAGTCTTATGTGGGGTTACAATTATTACTAATCGGTGAGTAATACATATTGCATAATATAATAAAAATTGTCAGTTTATATATTAGGGCGGGTCGATTTGTATGGGTAAAAAAAGTTGCACAGGCATATATGATTACCATACTAGGGATCAAAAGAAGTGACCTAACAAATCCAATTCATGGTGGCAGCGGTAAATACCAAAATAACTTTAATAAAAGAATAGTAATAAACAAGAAAGTGTGTTGTCTATACCAAATATAAGAACCCAATGTGTCCGAGGTAAACAGTTGTGCTTACACTACCAAATCCAATTCAGAAGATACTTGGGTCACAAAGATTGGGTCAAATTTTGACAAATCCAGTTTTGGCTCATTTAGAGCACCCCAATAGTGTCCAAATGTATTATCGACCCGCACTAACTTTGGAAGGCCGATTTACCCATGCTCTGGGACCCCCTTAGAGATCCACCATACCAAAATTAGATATATCAGCTAAATCCACGTCTACTTAAATTCTACTGTTATACAGGAAACTATATTTTACAAAAGTAATTTCATACAAAAGATTGACCAAGTTTTTCTAAACTATTATAAAAATTCTAAAATATCATCAAAAACTTCTTTCAAATCGAAAACGAATATAAGTGAAATTCGCTGTTTCCAATAACTCGAGCTTTTATCATTTCGCCTACATACTTCGCCTTTATAAGCGGCATTGATTTTCTTTTAGTTTTGTCAGAAATAAAACATGCCAAAGTAGAAAACCGTTAGGAAAGAATGCGTGAACATTACAGCACGCGTAGGGATTTGTAGAGAAAAACTCCGTTTTTTCTTTTCCCAGAGATAAATATTAGATAATTCCTACATGGACCGCTGGATATAACTTTTGATGAGTAATGTAGTGTAGGTGGTGAAATGAAAATGTAATAGGAAAATGAGAAATATGATAGAACATATTTATTCTATGTTGTTTTATTATTTGATTTGATTATAACCTAATCAAATTTTAATTTAATTCATAAATAAGCTGTGTAAATAAACGACTTGATTCTATAAAAAATATAATTTTCTTAAACTTATGGTTATGAAACTTTTATTCTAAATCGAGGCTCGCGTTAAACTACTTTGTGTAGGTCTATAGTATTTTAAATGTTCATTCAGGGTTTCCGTACTAACGTAGACCTCCGTTTTCATTTCGTGGTGTTCCAAATTCCTGTTTCGTTTCTACCATGAACCCATTGAAATTTTCCATGCACCCCTGGGGTTCCACGTGGGCCATTTTGGGAATCACTAATCTAGACCATAAACGAGTTTCAATTATAACCCATTAAAAGTTTCATTCTAATCGTCAAAGTTTAGAACACAATTTTGCTTATAATGATTTGTAGAAGTTTCAAGTCATTCTGAACCGTTTGAGACTAAATCTGGAAAAAGTATATATGTTTGTGTATGTGAGCCGATATTCAGGCTTCTGGTCAAAGTTCTAAAAGCTGAACCATAATTTAAATATTGTATCTTCACAATTTAAAAATTTGCTTAATATGAATTCTTACTGATTGAGTCGAAGACTTACAAATTTACTGGGAAGGATCATGTATTTTTCCCTAAGGCAAAATGCCTCTTATAACAAATTTTTCATCAATTTTAATTTTACTGTACCTCTTCTTTTTACTCGTCTCAAACAGAATTGATATGTATATATCATTACTCAGTTTTTAAACCGACGTAAAATAAAAAGTAAATATTATTTTAAATGTGTTTATTTTAAATTAGCACGTTTTTATTCGAATAACATGTTTTGCTAAATGAATCACTAATTATTATTTCTCGCTTAAAAATTGTTTCTATGTTATATTGTTTGTATGTTTAGATGGAACAATCTCAAATAATATTTATTTAAAATTGTCTACAATACTGCATTGTGAATAATTTGTGTTACATACTAATATTTTATACACATGAATCAAATTTGTTTTTGAGTTTTTAGTATATAAAGATATAAAAAAGAATTTTGAGTTTCATATATTATAGTATAGATTTAGTTTTATTCTTTTGATAGATCCTCAAATCCATCTTATACTATCGTTCTATTATGATTTATCTTATAGGTTCTTTATTGCGTATGCCATAAGAAAATAATTATTTTTTCATGGAAAAAATGGAAAGCAAAAATTAACTTTTGACTCCATAAGT